AACCATTCTGATACATGTTAATGCCTAAATAAACAATCTTCATTTGTATGTGTATCATTTTACAGCAGTTGTACTTAACTTACCAAGTAGACGTTTACAATCGCTTAAATGAAAATATAGCAATTTCAAATAGTTATTATTATTATCAACACATTGATTACTATTGCCTTTAAATTGATAATAATTTAAATCTGTTCGAAAATTTTCAATTGTCATTGACATATTTAGTTGATGACAGCGTTCTTTTAGAGAAAACCAATTTGCCCGTTGTCGGCCTGAATATCCATTAGAGTTATCGTCCATACATAGATAATAATGAAACCAAAATGTAATATCGTATTTTTTACGTTGTTTATACATCTTCATAAATCTTTTTTCATCAGCAGTAGTCCGGTATAAATTAAAATCAGAATTTATCATTTTGTCATCAAACACATCATACACATAACGCTTGTACAACATAGATCCAAATTGATTTCGAATTAAACATATCCAGAAATAATTGTCATTAACTAAATCATAGAATTTCCTACACGTTTTTGATAAACTGATAATATCCGTTGCCCACAAATATTTGCATGTTTGATGCCAAACGAGATCAGAAAGATCGATCCAAGTAATCATTTTCATCGTATAACAATAAATATTATCTAGAAAAACAACACTAACAGCAAAAGAAAACTGAGTTTCTCACTTTAAAAGCTAAAAAAACAGTTTGTTGAGAGACGTAAAAGATATCCCAGTGCACAATACAATGGCATTTCAAAGAAGAGTTTATAAAAAGTACTTGTTAAAAACGTGTATTAAATCACTTTATTAATCATAAAAACATGTTAAAAATATAATAAGTGTCAAGCAGATGACCATGATGTGTATATAATCTTGCACTGAATTTGCGTACATTCATATTTAATTTTCTGTATTATTACTATCATCACTGTCACTCTACAGAAAAAAGTAAAAATATTAACAACTAGCGGAAGTACCCGATGTCGGTCTAGATAATCTGATAGTACATGTTTGACGTATGAGAAGACGACGTCGCTGGTAACAATATTCATCAGCTTTATGAGCTTCTGCCTGAACACTCTCGCCAACAGATCATGACGGTCGGAATGAGTTTGGCCAGTCAGCAGCTCTGCTTGAACTTCTTGCC